CCCCCCCCCCCCCCCCCCACACACACAATGTAATATGTCATAACATGCGTTGATATATTCTGAAGCATTTAATATGCCTTAGCACAAGTTTCTTCTCATGCACAATGAAACGTAGGAGATATCTTAGTCAAATAGTGTGCCCTGATTAGGTCCATTCTGAATGTCTCCAAGCTTGAAAAACAAATGATTTTCTTTTTAAAACTAGGGAATTTGTACAGATATCTGGGTGTTCCAGTTCAAGAATATGAGACTAACTTCAATCTTTCAAACAAATCTATATTCATTTTTCTGTATGTTGGGACAAAACAATCTGAGAAATATAACTAAGACCCAACTTGGTTAAGCAAGAAGACAATAAAAGAGGATTGCTCCAGAAAATAGGTCACCTTCAGAGTTAGTTTTGGCAAAATTTTCTTTTTTCCTTTTCATAAATACATTAATTACATTACAACATGAATTTGACATGTCTAGACTCTGGACCTGACAGAACAACATACAACAGGCTCAAAACTGACCTGCCCGGATGTCTCTGTCAAGACGATCTGCATTAAGAGTCCCAGGAAGCTCTCTAAAATCTTCATTGAAAATAGAATATGCACTGCAGACATTCAAGATAGAAAAAAGTAAGATGCTTCTGAACAACAACAATGCATGGCCCAGGTAATTTAGGTTGTTCAAGAAGATGCCCACTTCTGTATTATGATGTCATTTATTTCTTCTTAAAGTATCTAAGCAAGCACCATTTGTGATGGATGGGAAAGTAAAGGAATAAATGCATTCTCTCAATTCAACATAATTGAATCAAGTGTTCATCCGCTATAGCACGTACCTCATATCACCATGCTGTCGCTGTCCAAGATTTAGGAAAATGATAGCAAAGCCCGTTGCAAGAATCTGAATATAGCAGGACCAAGGTATTAAGTGATGCAATATTCCTTATCCTAAAGATGTTAGGTGACAGGTGACAACCATGAAGGATTCAAATCAATGAAGATACTGCCAACTGTGTTTTTTTATCCTTAAAGCTGATGGTTTTTTGATGGAATGTACTGGGTTCATTCAACACCTTTGTTCACCGTGCAATTTGTTTCCATGAACATATTCTCCAACCACATCAAATGACATAATGTGAGATTGTCCAGCAAAAACATAAACAAGGCACACTAAATACTTTGTTAGGTTGGGCAACATATAGAAAGTAGTATAAAAATTCAATATATGACTGCTACTCTTGTAAGAGTGTTTGGACCAACTTTAAGATCAGGTAAACAGTGATTGGCCAATCCGATGACGTTCAAATCATCTTTGTAATTATCATTGCCACAAATTGACCTCAACGAAAACCAAAGACCTTGGTTATCTATTATTTCAGTGTAATTTTCAGGTCATGCTCATTGGTCCATTCCTGGGTTTTGGCCCAATCAAAGCAAGACAAGACAACATTACGTAAGACGAGATCCGATGCAAAACTCTTGACTTACAATATCTCAAAAAACTTTATGTAACAATGGTGCATTTGGAGTATAAGATATACCACTGTTGGTTACATGTAATATTATGTATCAGTCAATCATTTTGAGAAGAGTCACTATAGAGAATGGCAGTACGTCACGCTGGAAACATTAAATTTCCACATGCTATCCAAATGCGTCCAAAATACACAACAGATGCTATGTGTTGGAAAAAATGAAGCCAAGATGTAAAATACTTACATACAAAGGACCCATATCCCATCTATGAGCAATGGGTGCCAGGATAAACCATATAATAATAACAGCCCACATCTTTAGACTTAGAGAGAAAATTGCCATCAAGAGCATATCTATCATTGCAAAGGAAGCACCAGATCAGAATATCACCTTTTTTATTTTTTACACACATAAACAATTAAACGAAATACATACCAGGAAACTTCAGTTTATCATGTAGAAAGTAGAAAAGCTTCCTCTTCCACCCACTCGCAGATTGTGGAAGACGAAACTCCTAGATATTGAAAGAAAATATTAGCAACATAGCACAAACTTCAGTTCCATGTAACTACTTATTCAGCACTTACCAGATCCTCGTCATCACCATCATCATCTAACCCATTCCGAATATGTTTAGGAGGTGGCTTTGGTTTGACAGCAACAATCAGGGAATCTAGAAAACAATGTGCCTACATGTAAAAAATTGCACTACCGCCCAAAGAAGAATTGCACAAATTCAAAAAATATGAAAGTCAAACACAAAAAAAAATCCTAGATCCCTAATTCCGCATTCTATCAGAGATCATAGATGTAAAGGCCTAACACTGCAAAAGGTTCAGAATATTGTACAAGCTGATATTGCTGACCAGCATATACATGCAAGAACGCTCTTCCAAAAGAATCTTTCATCTTCATACTTGTGGTGATCATAAGCAAAAAGCCCATAATGAAGAAAAACGATGATAGCACATCTTCAGGGAAATATTTACCCAAAAAAAAGTTCAAAAAACACCTCGAGTTCTATGACTAGCTGTCAACTTAATCAAGTTTGGCTATCCATATCGAATATCGTATCAAATACGATCTTCGTCGGATACACGAAAATACATATCGGATACACACCAAACGTAATCAATAATCTATATCTATATCTACATTTATATCTATACTACTCCTAAAAGGCTAGTAAACCCAAAAGCATTTTTTCCCATTATTACCCTTTCTTATTCTTATAAAGTCAATCAAGTCCTCTCTCCTTTATCCTTGTTAGCCATTAATCTTCCAATAATATTCAAGTAATTACTACAAGCCTTTATTAATTCAAATACATCTGCAATTAATGTATATCTACTATACCTAAAAGCCAGCTTACTCCTTAGTTAATATTCTTTCATATTCAATCATTTAACAATAGCAATTTGTGGTGTATGTATTAGTTAATACATTAATTACCACTTTAATGGTGTGAGTGATCCTCTCATATTCTCTCCACTTTTCACATATAGATGCATCAGTTGGCACTATAATGATCTCACTACTACGGTTTAGTTAGACACTACAAATTGTATGGTAGAAATTAAGTTGTTCCCCAGTGTAGAAAACCTTCTCAACTTCTTCACATATGAACTGGTACATAACTTCTAAATGGTTCAAAGATCTGTGCCTTCTCTCCTTCTAAACTCCCCACCCCACCCAACAAAAAACCACACGCATACGCACACGCCCTCTATGTGGCCATAGATGAGAAACATCGATATCCAGAACTTCAAAGCTCTTTGGAAAGTGGAGAACAACACAAAGATAGAAACAACGGTGAAGAATATAATTGCGCATGATTGGATGATGCATATTAAGATTTACATGGACAAGTGAGCTAATTAGAGAGTTTAATTGGAGCCAAGCTAAGAGGTTCCCATAATTACAATTGGAAACTCTAGCCATAAATTTGCCACTTCAAGTGATGGAGACTAATCTCCAACTCAAATTCAGTACTACCTCTAAGTCTCGGGTATGACCAATTATATCGCAATTATTTAACTTCCTTATGAGTGTGCACCCAATTTTTTTAAGTGCGAGTTTGTGAAAAGATATATATGCTTCTATATATGTAGACTTTTGTACTTCCTCTAACCTTCTTCTTGCTACAACTATATGTGTGTTTAGTTAATATATTGACGAATCCAGGCAGATAGAGGAACCAGTGGAATAAACTCCACAATCGCTCGACTCTGGTGAATTCAAGGTGAGGAGATCCTACACTCTTCACTTAGTTTGAGTTGCTCATAAAATTACTACCTTTGTAGGGGGCATCAGATTGTTTGCACGAGTTTGTAATTATTGTTGTTAAGTAATTTTTGGAAACCAAGTTTCTGAGGTACATGTCTTAACTGCACACTAAACCATTTATGTGTTGGATTTTGCAAAACTCATGGTGAGGCTGTTTGTGAGAGTGATTTCATTTCCTTGTAGATGATTTGTATACCAGGTTTTAAGGAGCTTCTAATGTGATTTAATCATGGCTATAACTTATGTTAACAAGGATTTAGGTTTACACGAATTCATAATGCATCCCAAATGAGGACTTTGGATAGTTAAGAATACATGACAGCCTTTGTTGTTCCATGACAAACCTACAAATTTTGCTCCTACTGGAGGGACACCGGTTGCAAAGAAACCTAAAGCTAAGGCTCAGAATAACAAGGACATGACATATGAAGAGAAACAGAGGCTTAGCACAAAGCTTCAAACTATACCTTCGGAAAAACTTGACGCTGTTGTTCAAATAATTAAGAAGAGGAATATGGCGCTTTGTTGGCATGATGATTATAAGATAGAAGTGAGCATAGACAGTGTTGATGTAACAGTTGGTCTAGCATTTAAACAACTAAGTTACCCCAAAAAAAACTCCTTTAATACTACCATTTGTACAATACCTGTGTTAGGTGTTAGAAAGATTAAAAGTCATGACCTTGTGTGTTTGTACATTAACATATTCATCTTATAAATATCTAGGTACTTGGAAATTTTTTGTTTCATTACTTATAACTTAATATTCCTCATGAATGTCCAAATTATTAAAATGAACGTTTGGCTCACTTTGTCACAATGGAAAAAACAATACACACATCAAAGGGTGAGACCTGCTGATGTTAATACACTTAATTTCTTTCCTTGAAAGATTTTTGACTCATTTTTTTCACATTAAAGAGTAATTTTATGGAAAATAGAATACTCAAGAAATTTTTTTTTGTCTCACTTGATTAACCATATGGGTTGTTTCAAACTTGGTTCATATTCTTAATTATAACTCATAAAGAATAGTCATCAATCTGTAGTTGTTACAATTGGTTCAATATATAGGTTGTCATAAATGGTTTAAGATATGAACTATTACAAACACAGCTTCCACTTAATCTCTTTGGAGCCATGATAGGTAGTGATTAGTTTCCATTTGGCTTGTAAATTTTTAGCTCACCTTGCCTGTTTCTCTAGTTAGAGCAATAATAAATATTGATTAGTTTCTCTTCGGCATGTAACTTTTTAGCTCACCTAGCGTAGCTCTAGCATACCGGACAACTAACCTATATGCTATTACTAATACATTCCGAGAAGACACATGCCTGAATCCACGTCCGAGATAAACACATCATCAATTGAGACACTAGCAACACTTTGTGCTTGAAAACATTTTACAATACCAAAAATAAAATATTTTCTCGTGCAATATTTATATTTTAAATAACAATTGATTTTTAGGGTAAAGCTATTGGGACTTAAAAATCTGATCTAATTTGCATACCTAATGATGTACTTTTATTGTAATCATTAGATTAACATTAAATTTCAAAATTTGATGGGGCCTACAATCAATTCAAGAGTTATAGTAAATTAGGTCAATAAATTACACCCCAAATAACATTGTTCTTATTTTTATTATTATTTTTAACTATGAAATTTAAAATAAAAGGGAACAGAGAGAAAAGAAGAGAGGTAGGGGAGAAAAAAGATAGAAGTAGGTGTGGATTAATGATGTTGTTTAGCATTGAAGAATGTGTATGTTTTGATTAAAATTTACGAGTAGCTCAAAACCAATTAAGTTTTCAGCATCCAATTGTTTCAAAAAGTGATAGGTGGTAATGGTAGATCATGTAACTTAGGTTCTAAGTGTCGAGTTTTATGCTCTCTCAAGGTAATTTTATGGCTAATTGCTATATATTAGTTATAACTTTGTGTATGGATTATGTTTTAGACAGATAATGACTGGATTAGCTGGTGGATGGATTTAACAGCAAAAGACTTCTATTTAATGAACAACTAGCGTTCGCTCCGTGCGATGCACGAGATTATAATCCATATGTCTTTTTCTTTTTTTTTTATTTTATCACTTGAGAAGTTAGACAAATAATTATAAAAAAATTTTGTATGATAACAAATAATTCTTTTGAATAATTTTTTAAAAAATAGTGATATTAAGGAGTACTTGCAAAAGACACATGGTAGTGTCGGACTGGAGGGATACTTAAATTTTGACTTTAAAAATTCTAAATTCTAAGAAATTAGGAAATGAGGAGGGAAGGATTTCCAAGCCCTCTCACCTCTAAATTGTTTGTTATATACTATCGACGATCCTATACGATGCACGAAATTTATATCTCATCACCTTCTATTACCTTTTTTACTATATTCCCCTCTCTCATGCTCCATTATTTAAAGGGTAAAGAAGTTAGACAAATAATTATAAAATTTGGGGTGATACTAAGTATTTTTTAGTTAGTTGAGGGGTGGTTATGCCACATGGTGAAATGTAATTGGATTGCATGTATTAACATAAATCAAAATTTTAAGAATTAAGAGAATAGGAAGGGAAGACCTTTCATGATATCTCAACTCCTACCTAATTTGTTTGTTGTATATATATATATATATATATATATATATATATATATATATTGGATTGTGAATGCTGGAATTTAGTTTGGTAATAAATAAAAATTCTTATAATAAATTGTGGAGTTGTAAACTGCCGTCTTATCTTTTTCTTTCAAGTCTTTTCGTTTAATAAAAATGACACATACTCAAATCTTTTCAAATCTTCGATATTAAATAATTAAACAAAAGAATAAAAGCAAAAAAATAAAACAAATAATTATAAGTCAAATTAGTCTATGTGCAACACATGTATACAACAACTAGTAAATAAAATATATGAATACTTAGCAGATACTTATATATGCAGAAAAATATGTGTAACTTTTAGCTTTACTTTTTCCTCTTCCTTTTAATTTCAAATACAAGGTAATACATAAACAAAAATTCATATGACTGAGAATAAGAAAGGAATACCTCTCAAGGTCTCTCAACTCCTACCTAATTTGTCTGTTGTGTATATATATAGGATTGTGAATGCTGAAATTTAGTTTGGTAATAAATAAAAATTCTTGTAGAAAATCCTGGAGTTGTAAACTAGAAGTTTTGTCTATCTTCTTCTTTCAAGTTTTTTCGTTTAATAAAAACGACACATACTCAAATTCTTCAACCTTGAATAATTAAAACAAATAATGATAAGTCCAATTAGTCCATGTACAACACACGTGTGCAACAACT